ATTGTCATTCATAAATGTTTTATGTTTTCCTGAACCATATCTAGTCAAGGGAGTAAGCATGACTGTGTGGCTTTCTGCAATCTACAGCCTTTACGAGCACAAGCAATACATTAAAAAAAACAAATAATTTATCTGATTAGTTTGCCAAGGAGAAAAAGCCATTTTTTTGGGGGGTGGTTTTTTTCTACATATATGCATTTTGTTCACACAGCAATAAAAACTTTAATATTTATATTTTGCTATATATAATAAATCTGTCTTGGCGCGACCTCTCATTGGCTCTTTAATTATTGTATATATTAGGTATTTGAGAGAACACTAGATTCTTATCATGTAATGTAAGAACATAAACAATACCAAATGAAGCAGAAATTTCCAGTAGAGTAATTACCAGCACCAGGCAAACTTGGAGACAATTGATAAAGCAGAAAAAAATACTAGCTTTTGTTTTAATTTCCCACAATCAGGAGCAGGATTCTCTCTAGGCACAGGCAAAGCTGCTCAAGACAGCAGGTTGCTGGGACCTGCAAAATGGCTGCGGTCCAGCACTCCCTCTGCCTACACCAGACTGCTAGAAAGCTGGCCTCACTGCTACTGCTGGTATTGCCAAGTCATGGGTGGCAGCGTGTGAGGCGATAACTAGTCCTGCTGGGACGGTCAGCACCTGAAAAAATAGCCATTACCAACCCTAATATTCCAATCTTCCCAGCAGGCCCAGAAGCGACAAGCTTTCAAAATATCTGGCATGCTCCATTTCTTTCTCTTCTTGCCCTATTTCTGCTCCTGCCCCTTCTCCCTCCCCCCTTATCTATTAAAAGCAGCACCGCAGTTTATCGCCCCTACGAAATAAACAAGTGAGGTTTTTTACTGTTTAATTCTTCCTTACCATATTTAAATCTGCAAAAATACTGGAAGGATATGTAATTCTATGTCACTGTACATGATACCATTTTGATATGTCAGCCACAAAAGGGTTCTGTTGATCCTGAGCAAATGTGGTTCACAGAACCTTCTTTCAGAAGCCACAACAGCCCCATGAAAAACCATACCTTTATCTTGGTTGCCCCATTGACTTTCCTGTCAGTTACTGTTCTGGAGTAGCGGCAGATATTGAATACATATGTGCACTTAAATATTAATAACTGATAATTAGTGCTGATTTAGCTAAGGGAAATGGTTGACATGAATAGGGGAGCAACTGTTCTACATGATAATCTTGTGAGAATAGATGATGGGTCAGAAGAAACGTGGTATGTCTTGAGTATAAACTAATTCACTTGGGAGAAATTACTTGAAACCAGACTGTAAGTGGCAGCAGGTGGGTTAGCGAGAATAGAAATATACTCCATCAGTGCCTGCAAAAAGAATGTCATGGTGCACCATGCACGAACAGTTTGGGAAACTAACTGGAAGACGATGTGTTACAAGAGAAGACTACAGGAGCATAATATCACTGTATTAGCCTCTATTTCAGGGACAGTATTCAACGCTGTGTACCTGACTTAAGAAAAATAAAATTCAGAGATTGCAGCAAACAAGAGCCAAGATGCTTGGTGGAAAGAAGTCTTTATAGATAACAAACTAGAATTGCAAATCTGAACACTGGATATTAATAATTAAATACCTAAGTATTTGCTATTTATATGATTTTCATACTTGATGTTACCTATCTGTTCTAAACCTCTAGAGTCAGAGTTAAGTGGGTGCTATGAAATATTAAAAAAAAAAATTAAAAACCAGAAAGTTTAATAAAAAAGCTAAGGAATTGTCATTTATGTGTACACAGGTAATAGAAGTAAGGTTGACCACGGAATCTAGCATATTAACATCAGGGAATTCTAGTCTGCCCCTTTGGGATTTAGCAGGGTGTATCCATTGTTATTGTTGATTACACGTTGTAAGAAAAAATACATTTTAATTTCCAAAATATGCCGGATGCCATCACTTACATAAACGAAAAGCCAGTGGCCCTTCCCTAGTCCCTCATATCTGTCTAACTGGTTGGTGCCATTGGGCAGGTTGTCAAGGGCTGTTCTCCACAAACCACACCAGGCAGCTTCCTCAGGCCTGTGGGTTTTCTTTTTCTTTGTGGATGAACCTAGTTGTGGAGGCCTCACAGCTGTGTTCAAAAGTCACTTACTTTGCTCCTGATTTCCACTGCAAGGCCCTGATGAAACACAACTACACCTTGCAGGACAGAGTTCTAAAGAAAAACAGACTTGATTTGTAAAAGAGTGTGGAAATCTCATTAACTACCAACCAAGGTGGGGAGAAAGAGTATGTGGAAAAGTGCTTTCTGTTCAGCCAGGAAATCAGCCAGACGCAAGCCGACTTCTGAACCGCACTTTTCACGGGCCCTGTAGCTACTGAGATCAGAAGCCACCGTC